TCAGCCCACATTTCTCGCCCATGCTATCATTGGCCCTTTCACTATTTCTTCCTCCAGATCTACCTAATAAATATTTATAAGTTTTTGTTAAAAAATTTCCTTCCTTAATTGTTAAAATTTTATCCAATTGATGTGGGGTCTGGCTTATTCCGTGCTCTTCCATATCCTTACTATGTTTAGATTGGATCTGTAAATATGGCCACCAATCTATGATTATTCCTTGTTCTTCTAATTTTTCTCTTGATTTAAGGTTTCCTTGGCTGTCTAATAGTTCTTTGTATCTAATCATCTTTTTCTTATCTAAGATGTTAGGGTGAATCATTGCCTCCATCAGTGAAATCCAATTTGGAATTTTCCTATAATGTCTTTTCTTGACTTTTTCCCACGTCCTAATCAGCGCATCTCTTATCTGATGTTGATAAAAGTATGTGTGTGTTTTCCTATGTTTCCCCCATAGAAAGACATGCCAGCCAGTCTGTAAGTCATGCCCTTCAATCGTTAGAACTCTTTTATTGTCTAGGTTTATCCAATCTTTGATCCAGAGTAGTCCAGCTGCTTGATAATAAATTTCCCATTTTGGGAGCCCAAGTCCATCTCTACTTCTACTATCTTATAATGTTTTCATGTTTATCTGTGCTTTTTTGCCTGATAAGTCCCTTTTTTCAGTGCCGTTGCAACCTTGAAGGGTCACTAAATGAACTGTTGTAAGTCAAGGACTACCTGTATCAGAGAAATTAATAAAGTTTTCCAGAAACACTATTTCTACCAATTGCTTGAAAATGATAACCATAAGACATTTGGGAGTCTTAGAACATGCAGAGCTGTGTGCTGCCCAGATAACCCGCAGAGTTCTCTCTGCCTAAAACATAAAGAGGAGGCAAGAATATTTGAAGGTGTCTTATAATAAGTGGATAATCTGTCCATCTAGCCATTCAGATCTGCTATGATTGACCAGAGCTGTCCAGGTAGGTAAGCATCTTTCCCACATCTGCTGCTATGAAAGATCTCAGGGATGCCAGAAAATATATTAACTTGTTGTTGTTAGTACCTCAGAAGCATACCAGAAACTATTTCTATTAAAGTCCTGGAGATTTTTTAAAATATATATATGGAAAAGAGCAGCATTATCTAGTCATAAAATGGAAGCAACAATATACAGATAGTCCTCGACTTACAACAGTTCATTCAGTGACTATTCAAAGTTACAGAGCATTGAAAAAAGTGATTATGACCATTTTCACACTTACAACCGTTGCAACATCCCCATAGTCACGTGATCAAAATTCGGACGCTTGGCAACTGACTCATATTTATGACGGTTGCAGTCTCCTGGGGTCATGTGATCACCTTTTGTGACCTTCTGACAAGCAAAATCAATAGGGAAGCCAGATTTGCTTAACAATCATGTCACTAACTTAACAACAGCAGTGATTCGCTTAACAGCTGTGCCACAAAAGATCATGAACTGGGGCAAAATTCACTTAACAAATGTTTCACTTAGCAACAAAAATGTTGGACTCAGTTGTGGTCGTATGTCAAGGACTACCTGTAATATCTCATTCTATCATTTCAACAAAACACACTATAGTAACTACAAATACAGAGAGTTCATTTCCTAACAGTTCCAAAATTATTGAGGCAGATGTCTTTGGAAGAGATAAGGGGTGCTTTTCATTTATAATCAGCCTTTTTGCTTCCAAATCAAATTCAGAATTGCAGCTTGACATAGTCAAGAGGCTCCAGTGATTCCTTTAAGATTAAGAATCTGCCTGTTTCTGGAAGATCTACACCCATACAGCTTTTAAACAACTATCTAAAATTAAAGAGGCGAATGTGGGAATTATTTTCAGGATCCCACTTCAAGAAAGGGCAGGGGGGAATTAGAACTTTTTTTCCCGACTTATCAATAGCTACAGAAGAAGAATCATCCAGCACTTGAACTGACAACTGCAATTCCAGTTAAATAGTCCTTGCGCATTAAATGCAAACGACTATGAAATGGATTTCTCTCTAGCGTGCTATTCAGCACTCCAAGCTTCTCCACCTGTGCACACTGAAGATTGAATTGCAGCCATACAAAGAAGCAAGCATCCTCATCGGTTATCAGACAAAAAAAATGGCAGAAGTGCCTAGAGTATCCAGTGCTAATTAGCTAACTTCAGCAATTTGTAGGGACAGATGGATGCCAGTAACCTTTGCTGCCCTATTGTTGAAACATATGGAATCCCTTTCAGGTTAAAGCTGCCGTACCTGCTTCAGCCACAGGCCAGCTATACAGTGCCAAAATAAGCACACTGTGATAGAAAAGGAGAGTCTGGAAGACCTAGAGATAAAGGGCTGCCGGCATGCTTGTAAAATATTTAATCAGCGAGTGTTCGGCTGGTGCTAAGGAAGCAACTTTCTCCCACATCAATATGGACTTCCCAGGTATAGCGATCACAATGTTATCCAAACAGTAATATGATCAACGATAATAAAAATCCCCATAACTAAATAAAATGTTCTTTGAGTCGAGCCTGGCATCTGGTGACTACATGGACATGTCTGTCTAGTTTTCTTAACAGAAGAATACATGCCTCTTTCTTTCTTTCTTTCTTTCTTTCTTTCTTTCTTTCTTTCTTTCTTTCTTTCTTTCTTTCTTTCTTTCTTCTTCCTTCCTTCCTATCTATCCATCCATCCATCTATCTATCTATCTATCTATCTATCTATCTATCTATCTATCTATCTATCTATCATCTACCTACCATGATGGATGGATGGATGACAAATAGATTTTCCAGTCTAAACTGCAGCCTAGGATTTCAGCCAAGATCAGCTGGGTGTAGCCAAAAACAGTTGCTTTTGTATAGGGATATTTATATTAAAGGCTCAATTATTTGTAAGCAGGTTTCAGCCAAGATTGATCTGAGAAACCAATTACCTTTCCCCTTCTCACTTCTGCATGAGGTTCTATCCATTGGTCTTATGTATATTATTTTGTGTTTAGAGATGTAACTCAGAAGCAATATTCCCTTGCATCTTTTATCCTATCGATATAACAGGTAATAGGAATAAGAAGCGAGGGACTCTTCTTCCCTTTGAATCAGTACTTCTTTCCCTAGACTGAAAGGCTGAAACTAGTAGACTTTCCTCTTGAATTTGCTTCCTACATGAAGAATACAGTATTTCCTAATCACCATTAAATTACTATAATGGTTTGTTTATCTTCACTTATTAGTGGAGCTTTGCAACTGAAGTTCAATCAACAAGCAACAAAAAGTATGTCCACTATGTCTCTCCAAAGCTGTGTTTGCTGTGCTCTACCCAGCTCCAACTATAAGACATTACCATTTCTATGAGGAAAGCTGCTAAGCAGTACAAGATCATCACCGAAGGTATCTCTGCTCATCTATCCAAGTTAACATAAAGAACGGCACACTAAAATCTGTATCTTTTACATGGTAAGACATCCAAGGAGACAGCGGGAGTGGCTTGCATGACTAGCCTGATATAGGAGATTATGCTGAAGCTGAAACCTAATTAGAACAACCCTTGCTATCAGTAAATAAAAGTCATAAAAGGACAGGTTTCATTTGTATGAAGTATGCCTGAATAATATGACTGAGTATGGCACAGATTAGATTAGCCAGGAGTAAGCCTTTCCATTAGTAGTTCCCTGACTTAAGAATGCCATTATAACTGAGACACACTTCATGCCATCTTTATTGTCTATATTCCCCTGAGACCATTTAATGATCTGTTAATTTTGTGATATTTTTAACATTGGATTACTCTTTTTACTCTCTATTATTGTTTTTTTCTTGTATATTTTGTTGTCTATTCTTCTTATATAGAACAGGGAAGGAAAAAAACGTTAAGCAAGAGACTAAAAGACTCTCCACCTCAATTACATGTGATTCTGTGACACTGTTCTGCTGGCAAAAAAAGATCATTCCTGAAAGCCAAGAGGTGAGGGTGAAGGTTTGTTCTCCGAACTTGTGGGTTGATTTCCGAACATTTTGTTACCAGTCTAGGTAACATCTTCAGCAGAGTTTCTGGGAAGTCAGTGTCGGTGTTCTTCTGTTTATAAGGGCTTCAGGTATGGGTGTGTCAAGTGAGGGTGTTGTTTTGGGTCAGGTGTGAGTCATCAGTGAGGGTATTGTGATGGGTCTTGTGATGGGGAGATTACATCAGGTCAGGATTATTGGAAGGTGAACTGCTGGTGGGGGGAAGGGGGCTTGCGTGCACGACCCTCAACCAACCCATGCAAGCTCCCTCCACCAGTTCACCTCCCAATGATCCTGACATGATCACAAGACCCTCACTGATGACTCACACCTGACCAATCACAAGACCCTCATTTGACATACCCACACCAGAATCCTTTGTAAACAAAAGAACACTGAAACTGACATCCCCTAAGCCAGGGGTAGGCAACCTTGGCTCTTTTATGACTTGTGGACTTCAATACCCAGAATTCCCAAACCAGCCATGCTGACTCAGGAATTCTGGGAGTTGAAGTCCACAAGTCATAAAAAAGCCTACCCCTGCCCTAAACTATGCTGAAGATGTTACCTAGCCTGGTAACGAAACCTTCAGAAACCAACCCACAGGCTCGGAGAATGAACTTTCACCCTCATCCTACACCCGAGGTACAGATATTTTCCACTATTGCAAATCCAAGAAGTCCTTGTTTCCCGAATTTGATAGCTTCAAAAAGGCTTGATACCTATTACTTTCTGAAGAAATTTGGGGAGGGTGCCTGACTTTATTTATTTAGTCAGTTTATATAACTACTCATCTTGGTAGGTGACTCTTGGTAAGGAACAATATTTAAAATAAAAATTAAAACAATTACAATCAAAACAACACAAAATTAAAAATACATAGCACCCTTCATACATTTCGGGGACCCAGGTCCTGGCATAGAGGAGTACTCTTTAACTTATGATCGTAATGGAGCCTGGAATTTCTGTTTTTAAGTCATATCATTTGTAAATCAAAGCAACCACGTGACTGACCTGATTTTACAATCTTAAGTGAACTCTGGTCATAAAGCGAATGCCACAGATGTAAAGCAAGTCCATTCATTCCTATAGGTATTTTGCCAGAAACCAGTCACGAAGGCCAAAAACTGGAAAGAAACATTGTAAATCGTGGTTAAGCAAGGACTAATATACCAGTATAAATTATTGCATCTTTAATCCACTAATGATTGTTTGAGGAAGGCACTATTCTGATATTTTTCATTTTAATGAATCTTCCATAATAAAATATTAAATGATACTGGATAGATTCTTATGGAAAAAATGAAAAAGTTGATCATTTTTATCTTAGTTTTTTCCCCTATAATCTAATTTCTCAGCATACCCAGTGATAACAAAGAGGTGTTATGAAGCTTATGATATACTACAGTATCAGAGAGATCCTAGAAAGGAATAGATTATTTTGTTTATTTTCCAAACCCAAATCAATACCTTTTTGTAAAAAAAAAAAAATGAGAATCTTTAGTCTTTTTATTTTTGTAATCCTGAAAAGACTTAACTCACTGAAAGGAATCTCATCTTTTATTTTTTTTTAATTTTTTTTATTATTTTTCACCATACACCATACACCCAAACAAACTTAAAATACATAAACATAAATCTTTTCTTTTAACAGAACAGTACTATACATTTTAAACATTCTTTACATCTTATTTACATTTTATGTACATCAATAATTATGTCTTTTCCTTTCTCTGTTCTAGCCAATTATAACATTTATTCCAAATTTCATAAAATTCTGTCGCCTCCTTGTCTTTTAATTCTAACGCAAGTTTATTCATTTCTGCGCATTCCAAGATTTTGTACATAATCATATCATTTGTGGGAATATTTTCACTCTTCCAACATTGAGCATATGCTATACGAGCTGCAGTCAGTATGTGTATGATATGTTAGAGTTGTTTTTCTATCTTTAAATTTATTATGCTCAAAAGGAAAAATTCTGGTTTAAAATCCATTTGTATCTCCGTTATCTCCTGTATCCAATCTCTTATTCGTTCCCAATAATTTTTTGCTTTGGGGCACAGCCACCACATGTGATAAAATGTTCCTTCTCTGATTTTACATTTCCAACACTTTGGGTCTATATTTTTATACATTTTAGCCAATCTCACCGGTGTTAAATGCCATCTGTAAATCATTTTATATTGATTCTTTCTGTATGCAGTTGATAGCGTCAATTTGTAATTTATGTTCCATAATCTTTCCCATTCCTCTAAATTTATATTTCTCCCCACATTTCATGCATATGCTATCATTGGCCCCTTCACTATTTCTTCCTTTAACTCTATCTCTATAGGTATTTATAAATTTTTGATAATAGTTTTCCTTCCTTACTTATTAGAATTTTATCAAGTTGATGTGGGGTCTGACTAATTCCATGTTCTTGCCTATCCCTATTATATCTAGATTGAATCTATAAATACGGCCACCAATGTATGGGTTTTCTTTGTTCCTCCAACTCTTCTCTTGACTTGAGATTTCCTCAGTTATCCAGTAATTCTTTATACCTAATCATCTTTTTTTTCTCTAATGTATTGGGATGGATCACTGCCTCCATCGGCGAGAACCAATTTGGAATTTTCCCATAGTGTCTTTTTTATTTTTTCCCATATCCCGATCAATGCTCCTCTTATCTGATGTTGCTGGAAATATGTTGATGTTTTCTTCTGTTTCCCCCATAGAAATGCATGCCAACCCGCCTGTAGATCATGTCCTTCTATCATTATCCTTTCATTATCCAAGTTTATCCAGTCTTTAATCCATAATAATCCTGCTGCATAATAATAGATTTCCCATTTAGGGAGTCCAAGACCACCTCTACTCTTACTGTCTTGTAATGTTTTGAGGAATCTCATCTTTTAATTATTTCCCAAAATGATTACAAAATGAGACTGGCAAGGCTTATTGTCCATATAGGCTATATCGCAGTTGTGAGTGTAGATGGAATACTAGGAGTCCCAGCTACTCAACCAACTGCAAAAACATCGATTTCTGCAGTTTACCCACTGAGAACTGCCATCCAAAGTATAAGTGAGTTATCTCATGATCTCCCTTTCATCTAGGGTGGTTTTGCTGGCCAGCATCTGCCCTTTGGCTAGCGTGCTCACCTGCAGTATGTCTCAACTCCTACAGAAATGTCAGCCCAACATAATTCCTCACTGAAAGCTTTCAATATTTCCAGTTTTTAAACTCTGTGTCTACAAACTCTACTTAATGGAACTGAAACAACTAACATTTAGAATCTAACCATTTCATTCCAAAGTCCTCTTAATGACTGGATTAATGTTACATTATAATGCTCCTAAGCTGGTTTGAGGATATGTGATGTGTGAACCCAGCTACTGTAATTTATGGAGCGAGCTATAAATCATGGATTAGTGTGATATGCGAATCCAACTGCTGCTCCTGCGAAACAAATGATATAATACAGTACAGTCCTTGGATTCACAAATGACAAAAAGCTTGAGGCATGAATGCCGAATATTCCAAAGATCTTAGAAAAATAGAATTAGTTCTAGGTCATTTGATTTTCAGATCTTGCCAAGGTGGCACTGAAGCTGGGTACAACAATGGTAGCTTACTTTGGACCCAGATTCCTGTGTCCTCACAATCCACATTCAAGCAGATGGTGATCACTTGGGCCAAGAGATTTTAATCATGTCAATAATAAATCTGCCAAGTGCAATTTCTCCTCCTAAAATGTTAACCTTTTAAAAATAATTAAAATGTTAGGTAATTGGTCATACTTGCTGCTATAATTACCGTCATCCTGAAAAGACTATATGCCAGTGGAAAGCTCTCCATGGCTCTAGTTTTCAAGGGACATGAGCTGGGAGCAAAGGTTAGAATGGAAACAACTCAAAGAGAATGATGGGTTCCAGACTTATTTCTTTCTGGAAAAGATTGGGTTGAAAAGCTAACCTTATCATTGCTTCCCTTTGCCTGAACAACAAATTGAGGTCCTGAAACAAAAAAAATGGAAACTACTGTTTGAAATTAATCCCTTAAGGACCTGAGGCTTAAAAAATATCAGGGAGATATTTTCTTTTTTTTTAAGTGTTTGCAAGGTGCTATACAACCATACTGACATAAGAGGTTTTTTCTGGGGAAATTAAACCATTCTTCCAAGAGATTAAAAAGTATCAGCTCTGTTGTAAGTTTTTTGTTTTGGATATTGAAAAAAAAAAATTGGAACCAAAAGGGAGATGGGGAAGAATCAAAAGGCTTTTATGGAAAGACATTAATCAAAATGCAAATGAAAAAGAAATTAACACCCACAAAGAACCAAAGCACTTGCATTCTAATAGCATTTGAGAGGGGAATTAATAATAATTTAATATTATTAATAATAATAATAAGTTGGGAGGGACCCTGGAGGTCATCTAGTCCAACCCCCTGCTCAGGCAGGAAACCCTATACCATTTCAGACAAATGGCTGTCCAGTCTCTTCTTTAAAACTTCTTTAAAAAAGTGTATGTGTAACAAGGCAGGTGATCTATCTATAGAATGCAACTAGGATACAAACATTTTAAACAGGCACAGATTCTGGGTCCTGCTTAATACGTTGAGGGAAGGGGTGGCTACCATAGGAGGAACTGATAATAAAGACAAGCAACATGTTCTTTCCATGGTGGGAACCATTGCAGGTTAGGTGCTAGCACTGAGCAAACTAAGGCATTGGCTAAATCAGTGGTTCTCAACCTGTGGGTCAGGACCCCATTTGGGGTCGAACGACCATTTCACGGGTGTCGCCAAACAAGGCTGTCCACCATTTTTTCCCCCTTTTCTTTGGCCACGCCCCTGGCACCCAGTGATGTATAAGTGGTTGGGGGTCACCACAACATGGGGAACTATATTATGGGGTTGCGGCATTAGAAAGGTTGAGAACCACTGGGCTAAATAAAGGCAGCACAACCTATGAAGGAATAAATGGCTCATTTTCTAACTTATCCTATTCATTATGTGAATACCTAGCTCTCTGGAGAAGGCCCTAATGCTGAGAAAGATGGAAGGAAAGAGAAAAAGAGCAAAAGTAGTAACATGGTGGATGGACTCAGTTACAGTCGTGATGAGGGCACTGTTGGAAGAGATGAAGGATCAGCTTAGATACAGAACATCATGGAGAAAATCTACCTATGTTATCTCTATAAGTCAAAAATGATTTGATGGCATATAATCAATCAATCATATAAAGCTAGCCTGTCACCCTTACACATGTTAAAGGAATTGTCCTGTCAGCTTTTAACTGCCACCCCAGACAAGTTTTTGCACAACTAAGGGAAGAAGACACCAATTTCTTTTTCACTTCAAGTACGAAAAATCTTGACCTAGTCTTGAACAGCTGCACCTACTGAAAGTGGTCAGTGCAGATGAATGAAAACTTTGCTGGACTCCTTTTTAAGAGTTTACACAATGTGCATATTTCTTTTGCAAAAGTGATATAAAACTATGTACCTCATTCCTAATGTGAATTTCTATATTTTGAAGAAGGCCAGCAAAAATAAGGGACCTAACAGAAAGAAACCCATTTCTGATTGCATGTCATTTTAGTGAAAGAAGAATCCAGTACTTTCAGAAGAAGGTATTTTTTTGATCCACTGAAGAAAAGGAACAGTAAAGGAGGAAGAGGAACCAGACAAATGGGACACCAAGGCACCATCAAAGTGTCTGGTAGATCTCTAACCTCAATGGGCTCCTTCAACTGGTTGATACATGAACTGGGCCCTACAGTAATATCTTTTAAATTTCTGAAGTTTTCTTTTTCATATTTTTTTTTTTAAAAAAGAGAAAGATTTCTTAAACCGTACTATTAATGGCATCATCTCCCAGAGTCACTGGTTGGAGGTGGGTGGCTATACAAATTGACTGATTGAATGAATAAAATAAATAAATTAGCCCATTCCTTCCCCAATTAGCCCCCATCTTAACAAGGTGGCCTTGAGCACAATACAGCTCTTAAACAGAACACAGCTCCTCTTGCTTTATATAATGGGAGACAAATTAAGAAATATAGCTTATAGCACATGTTGAGTGTTTAAGGGAGGGCTGGAGCAGAAAACTGCTGTCAAGACAGCATTTAAAAAAA